AGGGGGGGTCGGGGGTGTTAGGGCTGAATGATGTGAGTAGGGAAGATGATCAAAGGAGGGAGAGTGGACGTAGCAGTCTGTTTTCTGCTGTTTTATTTTTATCACTTTTACTGAAACATTACGACAACAACGGGACGATTGTCTGGACGTAGCAGTCTGTTTTCTGCTGTTGACGATTGTCTGTTGTGTTGTTGTCGTGTTGTTGTCGTATTGTTGTCGTGTTGTTGTCGTGTTGTTGTCGTGTTGCCAGAACATCTTTATTTTCTCAAACCAAAAGATACGCTAAAAGATTCACTTTTTTTTTTTAATCAACAACCGTAAAAGTAAAAGGTTTGAAACTCTTTTGTTTCAAAGCTTTTACGGTTGTTGATGTTCAGATCAGGCAGCAGTTTCTTTTTTTACCGCGGACGTTTCTTTCTGTGTTTTCTCGGTGTGTGATTCATTACCACAAACAAGGTTCTGGCTCTGTGGTTCAGACATAATCGGTTCCATTTGTGGTTTTAACAGATATTCGTAATGGATTTTCTAAGAAGAGGAGAATGATTATCAGTTGAACATGTGTGCAGCGTTTTCACCGGAGCAGGTCTCCATAGAGACGTCCAGAGACAGAGGGACAGAGACAGGTTTGTCCAACTCAGAGAACAGCCAACATCTCAAACACCCAGGTGTTTTTTTTTGTTTGTGTTCGTATCCCTAAGAAATGAAAAAGTTTGTCATTAAAACCAAACTTGAAGGAGGCCCTCAGCGAAGGTCTGAGCTCCGTCGGATTTCTCTTCTTCCAAAGGTCGAGGTGAAGAATATTTTGCTTCTACGCCTGGTACAGCCTCAGGAATCTCAGAGCAGTTTTGTTTTTAGCCTTCGTGGACAGCTGGTTTTCAGCAACCAAGCCACAAAACACCCACTTTCTACTTGTTGCCCATAAACCAATAGAAGACAGACGTTGTCGGTGGTTTTCTGGTGAATGTCACGGAGCCGTTTTTAGATCCTGGCAGCTGAACTTCAGAAATTCAATCTTCATGGCTTTACGTTGTTGGGAAGTGAACAGAATCCACAGCTAAACCGTCATTGGCTGAGACTGTGGAGGAAAATACTTTTAATATCCATTGTCTGTCGTGAATACGATCGTGTGATTTGATTGGTCCTGTAAGTCCAATCAGATTTCAGATCACACTTTTCTTATAATACGTTCATTCAACTTGTTACAACTAGTGATGGATCAACGCAACGTTTTCACATCTGATACTGATCGTGGAGCGGGCTGTCGGTGCTGAGGCGACGGCGCCCTCTATCGATCAATCAGTTTGGACAGAGAGTTTGATCCTGAACTGTTGACCCTGAGATTGGGTCCAATCACGGTCTAACAGGTGAGAAGATCATCCTACCACATGTCGGGTCATCACACCTGCAGCAGACGGCTGCTGCACCATGTCGGGTCATCACACCTGCAGCAGATGGCTGCTGCATCTTCTTCCTAGGACAGTGATGGCATCGTTACATTTTCTTCACTCTAACTGATCCAGTTCCTTCTGAATGACATTATATCGACCAATAGGAATCCATTTTTAAGCAAACTGAAGAAAATGTTTTAAACTTTCTACAACTGCTGATCAGACTGACAGACCTTAGATTCATACAGTTAGAACAGCACGCAGGGATCCAGCGCCACCTTCCTGTCAGTACTGGAAGCACAGTTGAAATAACCATAAGTGGTTTCTGTGGTTTCTGTGTTCTGTTGACCTTTGGCCTCAATGATAGAGTCGTAAACCAATAACCAATATGTGGATTAAATCCAATCTTCATCCAGTTCCAAACAGAAAACTGGAGAAAACAAAAGGACGAAGACGGAGTCCACTGGGCCACCGCACACACAGATTCGTTTCTGACTTTTCTTCTCATTAAAATCCAGTTTGCATTTCCACTGCTCCTTGTTCCATCTCCCAGCAGACGCTGGTTATCGTGGAGTGGTCAAATGTATCCAGACTCGTCCGTGTCTCCGGTCCCTATTGTCTGTCTCACTCCATTCACTTTCAAAATTAATTAGTAAAACAACAGCAACTATAATTTGTCCTCCACAGAGGATGTACTTCTGGACAGTTTCTGTCCTCTTTGGTCTAATTGTTGAGGAGACGACGTTGAAGAAGGTCAAACATTTAACCTCCTTCATCAAATATGGATTCACAAAAACAAGCTGAGGAGGAATCATCTCATTATCTGCTGGGACGTTGGACAGTGGTTCAGTCTGA